CATGCTTTGGTATAGCCTCACTGTCCTAGCGCAGGAATAATTTCCAAGCAATTTGTGATAGCGCCTATTATAATAGACACAAGTAACCAGCATCATTTCGAAAAAATATTACTAAGATTGTCACAGGGAATTCTGAAAACCACTGTAGCGTTTTAATAGAGATTTTGCTCCAATTTTCCTCTCACATAACTGGGAAAAGACGGAGTGCTACCAGAAAAGAAAAAAAGTCGTTTCACTTGCTGCCCATTCAGTCGTGGTTGATTCTGCGAAGCCAATAGACCAACCGCCCCGTGTCGTCAGTCTAAAACTTTCACCAGTCAATTGCATCCATAGTTCAGTCGAATCCATACCTAAGAAACACATGTTCCCCAGTAAGACTACACAACTTAATTCCCTAGGAATTCAACTTGATTCCAGCGGAGCGCACACGCAAGTAAATGCAGACTGTCCATGATGATCAAGTTCAAATCAAGCATGGTCAAACTCAACTGGATGGCAGTTCAGACACGAGTATACGTATCTCAGCAATCTGCTCGCAATGTTCTAATTTGCGCTAGACTTAGACAACGCTTGTGTGTGACAGATGCTGATTCAACACGTGGTTCAAATCACGAAGCCAGTGACGTAAAGTAAAGGAGGAGTCCACACACGTCCGGAATCAGGAGGAACGCAGACGTGACAAGGAGCATACTAGGATCATGGGGTCATAAGACAACTAAGAGAGGAAATCGGGCGTACGGGGGCCCGATCAAGCCTGCGGTGCATCAGTTCGAAGCGGGCTTCAGTGAGCAAAGGAGATGTCCGTTTGAGACTAGGGAATAACTAATGCACGGAGGACTATAGCATTTATTAATTAATTGCTTCCCTAACGCAATCGTTTTATCCGTAACGCAACATCTTTCCTCCTTGGCTCAAAAATCCTATCCGATATTCAGGAATGCACAGACTGGTCAACTTCTATCAGCTAATAGCATAAGAACAATATGTCGGCATGGCTTTTTAACGTACATGCAGCTGGAGAGCAGATCAATCACGCTTTGGGGGGGGGGGGGGGTAGAAAATTGTATAACACTTAAGCCAAGCCCACGCAAGGTAGGAGATACCCAGTTAGTCAAACTCCAAGAGACGACAGGTGAGGCGTTGCTGCAAGGATCTCAACCATCCGCTCGTCTGGGTGCGTACCAGCATTGGACATTAAGGGGGGTGGATGCAGGTGTTTGTTCAATAACTGTTTCCAAACTCCAAAGCCTGGGATGTGAAGGTAAAGCGAAGTCAGCATAGTTTCGGGGTCAAGAGGAACGCAGATGCGGCCGTGTAGACGTCGTGAGCACGGGCTCACGTCAGCTGGCTTGATCGAGCGCGTTGGGAATGGAGTCTAAACGGTCTCACAAAGAGCAAACGAGATGACCACTTGAGGCGAGGAGACAGGTGAGGAACAAATGAGAAGATTGAACAGTGTTAACTAAGTATTCCAAAATGCTCTTTGCAGGAGGCCGATTAGTATCCTCATGTTTATGCCATGTCTCGTTATTTCAACCGGACTCTCACTTAGAGGCGCAGTGAAAGCTACCGTTTACTCTCAGCTCCAGTTTGCCAATAGTCTATGTAAGGGAAAGCTATGTTGCGCTGCAGAATGTCTACAGTGGGTTCAACCCAATCTCACATTGTTGACAGTTCCTCACCTACGTGAGGTAGGAAATAATTATAGTCCAACCATTTGTAGCCCCCGTACGAATCACACAAGTCAACTCTGATTGAGATAGGCAGTCTGGTTGGCGGTGTGAGAAAGCTGCATAAATTACTCGCCAACATTGAGGGCATCAGACCTGCTAGCTCTGATGGACTCCACTCCCCATCCTCCCTCACGTCACCTGGTGTACTTTTGACTTGTACAACAGATAACCAATAAGCGAAGGCTTATTGCCGAGCGAGTTGAAACGTTTAGTGATAAATCGGATTCCGAAACGCGGTGACCTTAGCAAATTGAAAATTTACTGGCCAGATTTTCCGATATTTATGATGTCTAAGGTTGCCAAGAAGATCTTGAAGAAGTATCTACTACAGCTGCTTTAATCAAAAGATCACTGACGCCCACACAGTACAGTTTTATAGTACGCAGCTCATGCATTACTAACCTTCTGCTAACCAGGCATGGGTGCTTACAGACAATGAATCGGAGGAGGCCAGTAGACATTAGCTGCATCAGTTTCCGTAGAACCTTCAAAAAGGTGACCGATGAGGTCCTCCTCAACAGTTTGAAAGTATATGATTTTAGTGGGTCACTGCACCAGTGGGTCCATGATTCACTTGTACTCGAACATAGCGGGTACAAGTCGAGGGCCATCTAACCGACTGGTATCCTTCTACTAATAAGGTACCACAAGGCACAATATTGGGGCCCACTCAGTTCCTAATCCACAGCAGCCATTTACCACTGCTTCTTCAGTCGTCTTGTGTCCTGTTTGCTGAGGACCCGAAGATTTGGAGAGAGATTATTACCCCAAACTACTGCTGTCTAGTTCAGCAAGACCTAAGCTGCCACTGTATGTGGTCCGCAGATAACCGTCTTCCAATCAACCCAAGCAAGTCGGTAAGTGCGAGCATTGCGAAGCGTGGTGACAGCAGAACACACACCATTGATGGCCAGCCGCTAGCTCTCACACTCTTCTTGAGAGACTTAGGTGTACTATCTCGCTGCAACTTGAACTACGTAGATAACACGAACAGTACTTCTCCTAATTGGCTATGCATACTACGGGTAGTCAAACACAGCTTCTGCACTTGGTCTGAAATGGCCATCATCTTTTGACCAATACGAGAGTAGAACTGGCCCGCTTGTTCTGCACTCACTCACCGCATCACTGCTTCGCCCTATATGGACTCCTAAGCATTACAACAATTGCTCCGGCAGTCAACTACAAGTCTCACGTATTTGAAAGTCGGCGTCTTACAACACTTAGCCGTGAGTGACGTCAGTGGAATACCACAATGTATTAACGGCTGCCAAATAGCGTTACTGGTCCTCCGCTGCTGTGCAGGTTGCAAAAGTTTAGGTGATAGGAAAGGCCCTCTGACCTACGACTTCCCATGCAAGTTTCCGTCAGTCAAGATGACGAGCTTGCTGCCCGGGGTAGCATTGATACGTCCAAGTAGATCTGAACCTCGCTAATTCTCAGTCTCATGCTATTCTGGGAATCCACAACCAGCGATAGGTACGTCGTGAGAATGCGCGCTATTACCTCTGCCAATTAAGGCTGCGGTCACCTTCGTACAATTATTGTATTTGGTAGCGCAGACACAGATAGATCTGAAACACACCCAAACCTGGGCAGGACTGCCAAGTGTCTGCATTGTATACAAAACCTTGATCCTGACGGTACCAAATCTCAGTAGTGCACCGGCCGTTAATTGTGTTATCCGGATTCCACTCTCAGCTCAGGCCATCTCTACAAGGCAGACATAAAGGAGGACTAAACCGTTCGTGGGATGCAGCGCTGGGTATAAACGACACAGGAGCCATTAGGTGTTGCTACCTACTTACGTAATCAATTGACCTCACAAACTGGCTGAACAAGTAAAGTAACAAGCCTGTGCCACCGATAAACCACAAGTGGAAGCTGTGGCATCCACCTGACTCAACGCAGCTATCTTGCCTCACCTTGACGCTCATGCTGAGGCGATCATTTGACATGCCTGTAGTACTGTGGTATGGTACTGGTGAGTAATATGTGTGGGAACAATGAGGCACAAGGAAATCATGAAAATCATGGATCGCCGTGGACAAAAAAGGTGTGGTATGCAAGTACGTCGCATGAAAGCAGCGGAATGGTGAAGCCTACCTCCATCGGTACGCTGTGAATGAAAAGGCACAACATAACGGCAAGTCGGAAAGGTACTACGAGGTACGTGCGCAAATACGACCTAAATTTCCATGTTCAAACAGGTATAATATCTAGCCGTTGATCCTCTATTACGTGTCCCGTCTGCGCCGCGTCGCGTTCTGAACAGCAGGACAACTTAATGTTCCTTACTCCCCAGGTCGGGGAAGGCGTCAGCGGACATATCGGCATCCGGTGCTCCAGCAAAATATTTTCACACGTGAGGGTAGCGAATGCTGCGAGTCGGACAAGTGTTTGACGTGAAAGTAGGAAAACACAAATTACAGAGATCGGTGGTTACCTAATCGCCACTTCACCTCGATCTATTCCCGGCAAGTCTGTGTGAAACCCGGTCTTACTCCTTCGGGTTTACACCGGAAATAGGCGGTGTGAGTGGTGCAGTACAAGCCACCCATAGTCCCTCTTTAGATGCAGTCCTCCTGTGGCTGTCCGCTTGGCGGTAAATCCCGGCACCGATACCGCCAATCAATTCATGTGTGAAACCCCTTAAAAGTGTTTGTGCTTGGTAGCGTCATGCCAACACTGGCACCGACATCCTTACTGTTGATCTGTTCAGGAATAGTGCATTGACATCTTGGGTAACTTACTAGCCGGCCGTTAAAAACCACCTTGGCATTTTAAACTAACGTATTTGTGACTACAGTCTACTGATGCTTGATGGAGGTCACTGTCATGAGAAGGGGAAGGAAGTTACTTGTATAGATCATCGAATAATTTTGTCCTTAAATGCGCTGATGACAGTAGGTACAAAAACTTTCAGTTTGTCCCCATAGTTGATTTAATGCAATAGTTTGTCAAATCTCTATGATTATCAGGTAGCTTCAAAACAACCTCATGTAGTCAGAAACCCTTATCGTTTAGTATGCTTAGTGTTACTGAGCTCCAATCCGTCCTCGTTACTTGTAGTTTCATATCGAAAATCACTCCAAATTTAGCGAGGTCTAGTTGATTTCAGTATTGGGTTTAGGAAGTTAGCACCTCCAGCGACAAATAAAACCACAAGAGCTACTTTGTAATCGTTCACATAACTAAGGAAAGTGTTATACTTGGACTCCTTGTTGTTTCATCGCTTCCCGTCATATCTCCCTATGTCATTCACAGTGGTGCTTCGTGAGTTCGATCATCCGCACATCGTTCGATTGATCGGCGTCTGTTTAACAGAACCCATGTGGCTGGTGATGGAGTACGCACCACTTGGAGAAGTATGCTTACTTTTCGTCCGGGCAATTGAATGCCAAGTGTAACCCGAATTTTATGCTTTTACTGAAATCGTACACATTTCTGGTAAAGGGTTAGTGTATCACATGGGATAGTTAGCACAAACAGTCAAACCAGCACTAACTGATTTGGATAATTTGCAAATAATTTCCCGACAACTAAGAGAAGCAGTTACGTGTATATTTGGTCAACATGTGCGGGTCGCTGTATGTTGTGTTTGCAATTATGTTCCAAGGTAAACAGGCGAAACTGGTCTTGTGTATAAGTCCTTGTTTATGTGGCTAAGTGCAACTACATGTTGAGTAACCAACCGAATATGGTGGCAGGTGTAGTTTGGATACTCTAGGATCAATGGCACAACCCGCGAATGTAATACGGCAATATGATTCAGTAAAGTCTGGTCTTGCTAACTCTATGTCATTCTGTCATTTGCCATTGTCTTCTTTCTCATCATTTCGGAGGTACATTCATTTGACGTCGTAGCTGCACTCGCGACCTGGTGATGTGACATTAAGCGTCGTGCAAGTGTCTAACTTACTTGACCCATAAAAGTTGAGGCTGTCTTAAGAGCATTTCTGAGCAGAAACCTAGAGCTTAACTGCGTAGCCAGATGATAAAATTGTCCACAGAAGAACGCGAGCTTTACGTAAAGCAGGATGTGTGTATTGGGAGAATAGCTATTAGACATCCATTTTGTGAACTAGGTTAAGAGCCATTCTTTATTCGCTATATGTTCTACTTCTTGACTGTTTTTTAAACGCTCTACTAGGTTAGTCCGATTGGTCCACACACGTCATTGTTAATGGACGCTCATCGTCGTGTCCTTTTCAGTAGTGTCACTTGCAGGAACACATTCCATTGGATTTTCTAATTATCACTGTGCTACTTGGTTATGTTAAAGGAATATTTAGTCACCACACGATTATTGTACTAGTTTTTAATCTTTGGATCTGCATTTCTTGTTCTCCTTTGTTTTGGGACATTTGTTTAAACGCAACATTTCGTTATTCTGATTGCCCAGTGCCTGTGACTGTAAATGGATGTTCGCTTTGCGCTTGTAGTCCCATGATGCTATTTTTAAGGACATGTGTGCTTCGCTCTTGAGTACATGGTTGCTCATTCGCCGTTGCATTTGACGTTTTTCCTTCGATTGGTTGGCTGAAGTGTAATTTAGCAGCTTCCCTTCATTTTGCCTTCAGAACTATATAAGCAACTGAGATTTCATGTATACAAGTCTCTTTCTGGCTCGTCTTTGGACTTTTTCTTGTGGTTGTGGGATGAAGGCGTCAGCGGCGACACAACAGTGTCCTATCATCAAGCTCCGGATTATCGTCAGCAATAGCTCGGGGCGGAGATGTTTACCTCTGGGAACGCAGTGAATTGGTACTAGCTTGCCTGAAGTGTCAGTAAATTCCCCGCAGCTTATCTGCGGAATTCACTGCAGATTCAAAGTTGCTGCAGATTTGTTAACCGACTGTGCTGACACAACCCGCACAGTTGCCAAGCATAACCAGGTGAGCCAGCAATAGTTTGACTGGGATTATTTCAACGATTCCAAGAGCAGCTTGCTAGTACTCGTTGCATTTCCAGTTCGTTGGGTGTCATTAGGCGTCTGTAGTCCTCTCACCAAGGTTATGCAACATGTCTTGATTAACACAAGCCAGACTGTGTCTGGTTATGTGAGAGTTGTTTGGGATGCCGAAATCAAACTACTCCACAGTAAGGTGTTCTTTCATTATGGTGTCAAAGTATAAGCTGGAACTGACAGCACCAAATGTGGCAGATACCGAAGACACGAATTAACATCGTTGAGCAAAACTAATCTCCAGTTATCTTTAGCGTAAAAATCCATTTACCCTTGATTTAACTATTGTGCACGGGGCCCACACCACTTACATCCAGTGGCTTAGCATCTACTATTGCCGCCTGGGACGATGGTGAGATTTTCGCTCTGACTGAGGGCAGAGTAGGCGCCTGAAGGCCACACAATCGGATCAGGGTAAATCGCACATTAGTTTTTAACGAAATGGATAATCATTTGGAACACTGAGGTTAATGTGGCGAAAGATAACACAATGGGACGAGTAAGGGTTTACTGGGAAGAATGTTTGCACAGGTGTGACACATGGTGTAAATGTGTTGTTGGTCACACAGGGTAACATTACCATGGTCAACCCACAGCTAAGCTGATAATTACTCCCTTTATATCTGGTATCGAACAACCGGCGATACAAAAAATGGCGCCCCCTGTCACATGCTGCCCAGGAAGAAATGGTGTGTATTGAAGTGAAGATGTAGAACGGAGCCACATAGAAACGCGTCACCATGGTCGGGAGCTTATTCCGTCTTGCTCACCAGCTCGAAATGAATGCCCTAGGAATTCCCAGTGGACAATGTCGGTGTGTTCGGGGATATCTTATAATGAGACATCATATCCTCACCAAATGGACAATGCTTACTGTTACCTAGGGAAGCTTAGCAGTTGCACCAGTTTAAGCTGTTACCAATTAAACTCAGCCACATTGTACTGTATCTGAATCTTACGCTGAGTTCTTCGGTCCGCGTTGTTCTTTTCACTTAATCAGTTTTGACTTTACTCTCCTCCCTACTTCACTTGGTAAGTCACTTGTACCAGTAACACGCTGTTGTTGCTGTGGGTACCGCGAACGCACCACTCAAGTAGTTTAAGACATTGGCATTTATCCAACCACCCATTAAACGTCATCAGCTTATCCGGAGTCACATTTGCCCTAGGAGCTGTAGCAAGCAATTTGTGGTCTCTACAAGAAAAGATTTCGCTGGGAATCGATAAACTGTGTTTACTTGTTTCTGAAACCCATGCCATCACACCATCGCGGTACATTTTACATCATACTTCAAGTCTTTACTGGAAACCAACGCAATCCATCGGAGTGGAAAGATGAAATAAAAACTCCGTTATACAGCGGAGGTAGACGACTGGATCGCGCGAACTACGGATCTATTACTCTTCTTCCTGTTTTCTCAAAAGCATTGGAGACGATAATCGCAGATGAACGGAAGATTATTTCCAATCTTTAGCATGGTTTTAGTCGTAGATGACCTTGTCTCACCCATCTGCTTTTTGCTCGGGACACATGGACCAAGACCGTTGACGAAGGAGTCATCCTAGGTGTGATTTACTTAGTCTTTCCAAGCCATTAGACGGAGTATTTCATTCAGTTCCCATCCGAAGGTTTGGTGCTTACGGCATGATAAGTCTCCTGCTCACTTGGTTGGAAGCTTATCTACACCACGAAACAATAAAGGAAAGGATCACCGACACCCCCTCCGAAAGCCACTGCATTCCTCCTGGTGTCCCGCAAAGACCCATCCTTGACCATCTACTGTATTTTTTATCTTTATCAGTTTGCAATCCCTAATACAAATATCTACGAATGATGCCAAGATCGGGAGAGGTATTCGTCTAACATCCGATCGTGCCTCTGCAGAATGATCTGGACCGGATCAGCGAATGGGAAGAAATGAACTGCCGTACCTGATCTCTACCAAGTGCTACCTGCTGACACTGCGCAGCAACTTCATCAAAACGTATCTTATCTCCTACAGTACATGAATAGTGTACTAAACTTTGGTATCATTTTACATCCAATTTGGACAATTTGCTGTAATTTTCGAGGGTAGCGAATGTGACGCATTTGAACTTAAAGCAATCGGAGCGAGGTCTTGTACTTTTGAGCAACAGCTAATACTCCTGCTGATCTACTTACATATTTGTCCCCACGTGGAGTGTGAAACTGAAGCCTGGCGTCCATTGTTAACCCGAGACATTCGTCTCCTGAAGCAGCCCCAAAGAAGATCCACCAAGTGAACACGTGGTTTATTCGGAATCCTTTTGAATTGCGCCTTCGTTTAAACGACTTGTCCTCAGAGCATTGAGAGCTTCGTGGAAAGCACATTATAACATAGCGAATACTAACAGCAAGCAATCATCGATTTACATCACTGCTGACCCTTGCTGCTTACAAACATTGCGGATATCATAACTTGAATTTACAACTCCATACTGCCGTTTGGATCGCAGAAATTTCTGTTACTCACTAAAATTCTCGTTGTACCTGAATGCATTACCAGCACAAGTAAATAAATAACTAAATAAACGTTTTATTCTCGACAACATGAGGCACACCTTTACAGACATGGTCAGGTTATCATAACAAGGTGTGATCGAAAATATACAAAAGTAAAGGTGTTATATAACAGTGAATGTGTGTGTGGGTGTATACATGTGTGCAATTTTTATGTATGTAGCTGTGTATTCTGTGCTTGTGTGTTACTGTCTTTTTGACCGTTTGGTATCCTCAGGAGTGTGATACTAAACGCATGATGTCCTTGCGTTGGAAAGCATTTTGCGGATATCCACGTGGCAGTGAGTTTAGTTTGTGGCTAGTCACAACCCCGTCACAGTGTTGTTAAGCGGGCATTTGTGACCTTTTATAGGGAAAAGGAGTGTTGGGCGAAAACCCATCACGTCATGGAACACTGCCGTCAAACTATTTGCTAGAACGGGTTAAACCTGAAGCATGCAGCTGGAATCATGAGGAGGTAGTTTGGCTAGCCAGCAACATGTTATGACATTTGAAGAAATATCAAATTTTCATAGGTGCTACATGCTGTAGACCAGTAGAGTTTTGGAGGTATCCACGAACGCCGCGGATTTTTGATTTACCGTGCTAGATTCCACTTTTTCTGCAGGTGTACTGGGTTATAAGGGTTTTCAATGTGTGGATTGTGCACCAGTACGTTCCTTTTGGTGTATTATTATATGTGCGGATCTGGTGAATATACACTGGCTACTTGCGGACATCTACTTGACTGGCCCAACTGCCGTCTGTGTCTGCCATCTTGGATTTATTCTACAGCAACCTGCATCAGCCGCACCACCAGCCAGATCAACAGCATTTGGATTTAGCCTACTACTGTAGACGTTGCAAAGAACGACATC